GGACCTTGAGGCTGCTGAGTGAGGGGCAGTGGAGACTCGCCAAGCTGAAATCAGATCCAATTCGTTGCTAACGGTTTTGTGTTAGTTGCCTAACATCTGTGAGGTTTCTCTTCCGGAAAATGGGAGCAGGAGCACCTACCTTACTGGGGTGTCACTGGATGGACAAGGTAATTCAGAAGAAACTGGCAGGGCAGATTCTGTCCCTAGCGCTAGGAGTTGTCTGCCACACTCAGTAAGTGCTTGTTAAAGGAATGAAGGGCTGACATAAGAGCTTGATACCTATCAGCGAGTTCATGCTGCCTCTGATGTCAGATGCACGATTATTTCCCGAAGCACTGAGAAAGAAAAGCTGTTTAAATATTGCGAATGGAGCCATAGCCCATTGCTCTCATATCACCTGGAATTTTTATTTTATACCTACTCAAAGATCTCTTTTAGGCTTATTAGGACATAGATTTAAAAAAAAAAAAAAAAACAGATCACTATTGAGTTCACATCAAAACGGCAACTATCAGCGCAATCAATCAGCACTGGAGGTATTCCTAAAACTTCTTTGAGGTCAGAGGCACCTCTCTCAGTGGACACCCTCTAAGCTGCTCCTCCCCTGTGAATTTCTGTCCCTTGCTGAAGGTCACCCTCCCATCCCCAAGCTGCTCCTCCCCTGTGAATTTCTGTGCCTTGCTGAAGGTCACCCCCCCATCCCCAAGCTGCTCCTCCCCTGTGAATTTCTGTGCCTTGCTGAAGGTCACCCCCCCTTCCCCAAGCTGCTCCTCCCCTGTGAATTCCTTGGCCTACCTGAAGGACTCCCCTCCGTGGTCTTCCCATCCACAGTTGGTGCCTGAGAGGCCAGAGGCCACCACTGTCCACTGGAATGGCTGGATAACCTCGGCAAACCTGTGGGAGTGTGTGGGGGGTTACATGGGGCATCCATGACACCCACAGCCTCTGGTACCCACACCCCCATCCCAACTGCCAACTGTCATGGAAACCAGACTTTAGAGATGGGAAGATGCTGTGTTAAAGTTGAGACCTACGAACTCTACTGTGTAAGAGCTAAGACAAATTGAACTTCTGAAGTCACACCAGTGAGGGTCCCCCTTTCAAAGTCAGAGAGATCCCAAGAGGGAAGGCCCTGCCCTGGAGAGGCCTCTGACAGTCCTGGTGCAGGAAGTTGTGAGTGGCCAGGGTACCAGAACAGGGGTAAAGAGCTGAGCCAGACTGAGTCAGCAACTGCTGGCCCTGTGGCTGCAGTTACCTTCCTGCCCTGCCCAGCGGAGCGAGGAGTCCCAGCTCTCTTACCTCCCTATAGTGGGGTTGGGGAGGTGGCATTGGAGAAGTTTTCCTTCAGCTCCGAGATCTGGCCCCCGGCTGAGCTGGAAGGGAGGGTGGGGGCGGTAGGTGGGACCACTGGGGAACCCAGCCTGGACAGAGGGTGCAGAGGTTCCCAGCATCAGCTAGTCTCCTCCGTGGACACAGGAACCCAAAGTGGGCTCAGGGGATATCCTTTGCGTTCTTTCTCCGGTACTGTCTTTTCTAGGGCAGAGGCTCCCTGACCTGTAGAAAGGAAATCAGGCGGGGGAGCAACAGAAAACAGAGGAGGTGCCAGGTTTCTGCTTGGACCCTGGAGCTCCAGGAAGATGGGGAGAGACAGCCAAGTGGAGGTGCTCACTCCAGGTTGAGAGGACCACATTTTGGCCACCCCTAGCCGGCCCTGCTCGGTTTTCCTGTAGCACGGTAAGACAGTGAGTGCCCTCCGGTTCCTGGGGACAAAAACTTCAGATTCCGCTGTTGTCGACTTGGGCCAGGACCCGCGCTTCTTTATTTTTTATTTTTTTTATTTTTTTCTTTCTTAGTCCCCACAAGTGACCCTCTAGGGGAATCCAGAACAGGGAAGGGAGCAAGCCAGAGGAATTTTTTTTTTTTTTTTTTTTTTTTAGGTGAAGAGTCGGGGGAGGGATGGGGCGCCCCGCTCGCGACTGCGCTTGCGACTGTCCTCGCGGTGCGGGGGCTCTGCGTGGAGCCGGCGGTGAGCTGGAATATCCAAGCCGGCTGCAACTGGCCTCCCGTTTCCTACACGCTTCCTGCGTGCCGGGCCCAGCTGGGCGCCGCCCAGATCTTCTCTCTCCCGGGACTCCAGCTCCCCTTCTACTGACCAGGAGAACGTCTTGCTCCGAGCCAGGATCATACCAGTCGAGAAGCGACCCCCTCCCCCATCCCGGGCCGGGGCCCTTCTGCCAATCCTCCCCCCAAAGACTCCCTCATTCCCCAAGCCACCTTGAATAAAGCACAATGAGCGCAAACTTCGCGCCTCTGGGCGAACGCTGCCTCCAGTCTAATCCCAGCCTTCTCTCCGCCCCCAGCCCTTCGCGTCCCCAGGGTCCAGGCGGTTGCAGGCGCTCCCCACTCCCGCAGGGCCACAGCTCTCGCGAGACTCCTGAGCCCTCTCCTTCCCCTGGCTGCGGCCCCCGGGCTCCGGGAAGCTCAGCCACCGCCTAGGCCCGCGCCATATCTGGGTTTTGTTTCCCAGGAACTTGGAGATGAGAAGAGACTTGTGCATGGAGGGGAAGAGGAATGGGATTCAAAGGACCCTTTCTTCAAGCCCCGGGCCTGAAATGAGGGATGCGACTGCTGCCTGCAGAGAGACAACCTCAGCGCTCGGTGGCTGGGGCGCAGTGGCACGCAGGGCGGGCGCCAGGTAGCTCCAGTCCGGCACGCGCAACCCGACAGACCGCGTCACCTTGGAAGACAGGATGCAGTCCTTTACCTAGAGTGGCAGCTTTGCGGGCTTGGTCAGCACGGGGTCTCTGGGCCGGCGGGCAATCATCTGCCTCTGCGCCTTAGCTCCTTGGAGCGGGCCTGGAGCTTCCTTCGGGTCTCAAGGGTTCCACCAAGCAAGGAAGCCCTGAGCTGCCCAAACACAATGGCGTGCAGCCGGCTACTCTTCCCCGGTCTCGGGAACTCGGTCTGTCTCTGCTTTCCCTGTCCCGCCAAGGAGCACAGAAGTGAAGGCAGTGACAAAAACTCCACCCCTCCCGCACTGCAGGGCCTGGAATCTGGTCTCCCTCATTTGAGGCCCAACTTCCCCACTGACCCACAGGTGACCTCCGACCGGAGTTCCCGCATCAAGTTCCCCTTTGTGCCTGGAGGGGGCTGTTCCCGCTGAAATATTGGGGCCCTTGTGCTCTGACTCCGGATTGGCCGGACCCCCTCCCCCACCTGTCAGAGCCCTGGTCCTACAAAGACCACTAGGTCCAGAACAGCAAGGCACCTTGGGAAAAAAAGACTCACAGGGCAGCTAATCTGCCGAAGGTTGCCCTCCTCGGATTTAGTAAAACCGGAGAGCCCAGAAGAAACTGTGACTGATGCTGGTCAGATCCCCCTCCTTGCCCCTCTTGACTGGTGTAGGTACATTCTACCTTCTTCCACAACTCTGTATGATAGAGACATAGCTGGAAACCAGGTCCCTCAGGCCTCCCTTTCCACGGAAGTCAGACCTTCACTTCCTGTCCTTTCAAATGGAGAAGATTAAATGCAGTCAGGTAAGTCACTTGGCTGCTGGGACCAGTGCAGGCAGGGTGGCTAGGTTGAAAGACCTGGGAGTAACCCCAAGGCTGGAAGGGATTAGGGGCCACAGTCACACACTGATGGTTCATTCATTCCAGGCAGTCAGGGTTGGTTAGGTGTTCTGGCTTCTCAGGAAAAGCCGGCGAGTGGTCTGGTAGCTGTTTGCAAGGCTGAATTAAGAACCCAGAGTGAGCAAGAGCTGGTTTCCCACACCTGGCAGGACTAGGGTGAGGAAAGTGGCTGCAGCCCTCAGAAAGTGCTTGCTCTCTCCTTCTCCTCTCCCCACACTGCCCCCCCCACCAAACCCCTCATTCCTTCAGGCCTTGAGGTTCCAGGAGGGGAAGTCAGAGCTCAGGTTCTGTGAAGAGCCTATCAAGCCAAGATCTGAAAGGCAAGGTGTTGCCACAATAGGTGGGGGCCAGAAGAGGTCACTTTCACATTCTGAAACACAAAACTTGCAGCTGAGTTGTTTGTTCCTGAATCTCTTTTTTTCTTGTGCCTAAATCTCTTTTCCTTTTTGAGCTTGGAAGGACCTGGCTTCAGGAACTCTGAATGACCAAGTTTCATAGTCTTACTGAACTTTAACCAGTAAAGTGGCCGTTGCTCCATCCCCACCTCTGGTCATCCTCCCCACCCCCAGCTTCAGGAAGCACGAGGACAGGAACCTACAGGCAGCCCTGAGCCCAGCCTGGGCTGCAGGAAGACAACTGAGACCTCCATGAGAAGGGGGCACCGGAGGGCACACGCAGCCAAGCTGTGTCCCTGCAAGGGACCACCTTCCCTAGGCCGGTGTCAGCTGAGTCCTCTCTCTGCGTCAGCCAGGTGCCCTCACTGCCCGGAGCTGGAACTCAGGCGCCCAGGCGCTGCCGCCCCGAGTATCCTGCGGAAAACGTGAGAACTCTGGGGAGCCACTGCTGCCGCAAGGACCCGCGGGTGGGCTACCGCGCTGGTGGGGGCTCTGTCCAAACCTCGCGTCCTCGACTTCCCATCAGCCTCATAATGGGTTGGTGAAGACCATCTCAAGAACCGCACAAACTGGTACTTCAAGTCCCAGGAAACCGAAACAACCACCGAGGCGGCTGTCTGTCCGGACCACTTCCGGAGCGAGCTCTGCGGCGGACCTCTGGCTCCTGCTCCTTTGGGCACCCGCGGTGCGGCCAGACCGCTCCTGCCAGCGACTCTCTGGCTGGCAAGGAAAAGGAGGTGGAGTTCAGACTGGCCCCTCACGCCCAGAGAGGAAGCGATTCCTAGGATCCTGCAGCCACCGAGCCGCCCGCCGTGCCTAGCCCGGGCTTGGTGGCCACCGGCACAGCTGCCTTCGACAGAGCCGGAGGAAAGGAAGTTTAAGAAGCAACTGCCGGCGCTCCGCTTATCTTGCCGCGCCCACCCGCACCCACTGCGGATTCAGAAGCTGCTCCACCGAGCCCGATTGTGTCATAAAATATTTTATTGGAAAAAAAAAGTCACCGTCTTCGCAAGAGGGGGTAGGGGCCCCAGCGACATCGGGAACCCGCCTCCAGGCCGAGCCGACCGGTTGCCCCGGGGGTCTCAGGCCGTGGTGGCCTGAGCCCAACCGCCGGTCCCCGACGTCCAGAAGCGGGTGTGTGCCTGGAGGCTCCCCGGCCGGGAGGGCAGGCCCCAGACGGGGTGGGGGTGCAGGCGAGGAGCGGGGCGTGAATGCGCGTGGAGCGCTCTGCGCCACGGAGCTCAGGGCAGAGACTAGTAGCTTCCCCCGCGCTGGATGCGAGTCTCCCAGGTTAGAGCCCAGAAGCGCGCTGGGACCTGGGTCTGGCTTTAGGGTCTGTGTCCTTCCTCGTTTGGCCCCAGTTGTCCGCATTCAAGATCATCATAAAAAGATTTAGGAAGTAAACGTCTTGGACGCGGAAGGGCCGGCTCGCAGGTTTCCGCCGGGTGAGGGGGCTGCGGGCGGTGCGGGCATCCAGGGCCCGGCACCATATGCCGCCCTCAGTCCTCGCGGCTCCTGTCGCTGGGCTCGCCCGGCACCTCCGCTGGTTTCTCCGCATCCTTGACGCGCTCCTGCTCGGTGAGCTGCTCACTCGTTGGAATTGAGTTCTTCTTGGGCCGCCCCTTGGGCTTGGTGGGAGACTCCAGGCCGCCGCCCTGCAGCACCTGCACGGGGGACCGCCAGCACCTGGGTGAGCCAGGACGTAGACTGGGGATCCCCGAGGAGACCTGCACCCAGGTGGGACTAGGGAGTACAGGAAACCATATGAGGAAATGGTGGGGAAATGTCCCGGGAAATGGCGGCTATTTGTCCAAATGCCGCTGGGGAGCGGCCTGGCCTGGAGAGCATAAGACTGCCAGGAGGCCTGAAGGTGCCGCGAGAGAGGAAGAAATGTCGGCTTAGCCAGGCACCCAAGGGGCAGAAAGAGCTGAGAGAGTCCCGGTGGGTACCAGGCACCGAGGGAATGGGGAGGTTGGGCAGAGTCTCTGCGGGGAGAAGGAGGAGAGTAGCTCTGCATGGCACCGGAGCATGGCCCAGGAAGCCGAGGGGCGGGAAGCCACCAGGCACACTCACTATTTTCTTCCACTTCATCCTCCGATTCTGGTACCACGTCTTCACCTGCAACTGGCTCAGGCCCAGGGATTCAGCAAGATCTATTCTGGAAAGAGCAGGGCGCACCCTCAGCAAGGCAAGTGATCACACTCCCACAGCCCGCTGGCCCCAGCCTTGCCCCGTCCTACCTGTCCGGCGTGGAAAGGTACTTCTGCTTCTCAAAGCGTTTCTCCAGGCCCATCAGCTGCAGCTCGGTGAACACAGTGCGGCTCCGACGCCCCTTCTTGGCCTTGGTGCCTGGCTCCCCAGGGCCTGCCGCCTCCAGCTTCCCGCGGAGCTGCAACTCGAGTGGCAGGTGTGGTGCACCCGCGGCGCCGGGCAGCCCAGGCCCCGCCGCCAGCAGCGCAGAGCTCAGCCCTGAACAGCCCAGCGGCGCCAGTGGGAACTTGAACACCGCCGCCTGCTCGGCCTTCAGCACGGCTGCAAAGAGAATGGGGAGCCGGGTGAGCTAGGACCGCGCTCCTCTACCCCAGGGACTGCCGCACCATGTGCCGACGCGGGTACTCGCGCTTGGCCGGTGCCACCCAGCGCAAAATCTCCACGCCCTGCCCGTCGGCGCCGGTGGCGCAGATGGAGACCCTCCTTAACGCTGCTGTTCCCCAGATCTGGGAGGGAGTATCTCTTCGACCCCGTCCGTGCTCTGTCCTGGAGTTCCCCAAGCCTCAGCGACTCTGAGATCTCGGGGTTCTTGATGAACATGTTTGCAGCTGCGGGAAACTCGGAGTGGTCTTGTCTTTCGGGGAAAGAAGAAACCAAAAATAAAACGGCAGCCGGTCCTAAGAAGATGGGCGTTTGCTCCAACCAAATCAGCACTGCTGCTTAGAAAAAGAATATGCACAGAGCAGGCACATTTGCTCTTCCGTGCGTGGCACAACAGCCATACGGTGGCTAGGAGTCATCTGGGCTGGAGTTGGGTGCTTCCCGGAAATTCCAAAGTACCCTGAGAACCTGGAAATTACTGTTGGCGTTTTCTATTTTCAGACGCTTCCCCATGAAGATGTTTCCATTTTCTTCAGTCCTAAAACGACCGTGTGCCCGCTTCAAACGAATTAGTAACAACAGAGCAGACGGAGATGAAAGGTAGCCAAATGGCGGAGTCCCAGATGGACTTAGAAGAAGCGCGCTGGCCCTGCCGTTTCCAGGCTAGGGAGCACTGACTGGGAGGTGGGGTGTCAGGGAACGCGACTTGAAGGGCTGGGGTCCCGGCTACAGCGTAGAAGCCTCCCTTCCCCGACAGGTCTGTCACTGAGGTGCGAGTCCTAGCCCGGCTGGAGTCGGAAAGGGTAGGGCAAGGCGCAGGTAAATGTGGGGCAGAGGACCCGCAGGGAAAAGGTAGGAGATGGAAGGCAGACCGACCCCAGTGAGAGAAGCCGAGGGAGGCCGACCCGCAGACGGCTGGAAAGCGAGACAGGAAAGACAAGAGGAGGGTGGAGTGCGATGGAGAGGGCACCATCAGGGCAGGGCAGGCCCCGCCAAATTGGGAGAAAGGGCAGAAGCTGAAAAGGTCTGAGCAGGCCGTTCAAGCCCTGCAGAGGCCCAGCCGACCTGAAAGCAGAAGGGACAGCCAGGCAGCTGCTCACAGTCAGGCCTCTGACCCCGAGGCAAGGCCCAAGCAGGTCCGCACTGCGTTCCTCGCCCGCTGGAGCTCCCGGGGGCTCCGGGCCGCCTT